CGTGTGTGTGTCATGAAAAAACCCAATACACATGCCTGAGAATGGCAGATGAGGTTCTGCCGAAACTATAACTTTAAAAGCACAACTATTAAGACGTGGGAAAATACCCAAAGAAACCTAAATATCATACATATAAACACCCGCGAAAACACACACACACACATTTTCGTAGATTTTCATGTGTACCGGTATGTAGGTCTTGGCGTTTGGGTCTTTTCCCGTGTAAGATTGAGAGCATCTTGGCAATGTTTCAACGAAGTCCCACTCGCCATCTTCAGGCTGGTGCTTTTGGCTTCATGCTTGTGCGAGCAAAGCGTGATCGGAGCTGCCGTCTTCCTATATATACTGGTAGGGAGGTTGGCTGTGTTGTCATTTCTTGTATCATGACCTTTGCTAAACTGGGATGTGCGTGGCCAATGAATAATGCATCCGGCCTGTGGGCCGCGAGTTTGACATCCAATATAGATATACCACCCATATATGTAATATATATGCTTAGTTGTCAGTCCCAGCAATAGCCACATACCTATACATGCAGTATATCATTCCCCTGTAATCAATAAGAATGTTCCTTAAGCACATATTAGAATATGTTTTGATAAATCCAAGATTTAGTTTTTCTAAATAGCTCCCATGTAAAGATGGGAAATATGCTAAATGACTAATATACCTGTGTTTAGGCAAATGTAAATACTTTCTGCAGTTTCATTAATTTTTTTGTGTGTGTTACATAATTGGGTAATTTTTAAACCAGTAATAATTTTTATGGTTATAATGTAAACAATCATGTATGAAATCACTATCCCAATAAAATGAAAGCATTTCAAATTAAAACCAGTTGTCAAATGTTTTTTTAATTTATATTTATTAAGTATTGTAGTTACAGTAGTAAAAGCAAATACAAATTAAACTCTGAAAGTATAACATGCTCAAAGAAAGAAAAAGATTTTAAAAATCTGTAAAGTATTTCCAATCTTTATCAAAAGTAAAAACAAATTTGATAACTTTTTATCCCCTTTACAAACAAGTATGTCATATTCCCATAACCCAGCTATATATAAACTCATGAATAATCAACTTTTCAGTCCTGGTATTAGCAAACTAACTTTGTATTCCTTCCTTTCATTTCTAACAATCTCATTCTTTAATTCATTCAGAAGTTGTCATAGGATTTGGTCTGTTCAGTTTTTCTCCCTTCTTCCCATCACAGAGGCTTCTTCAAGACTTTAGTAAATCTCTTTTTTAAATCTGATAAAAAGTCATTATCCAAGTCATTGTCTTGATTTGTCATTTGTATTTCCACTTTGATTTTCAAAGCTTTAGCCAGCTTCTGGATATCCAGTAAAAAGTCCTTATCAGGATCATTTCCCTGGCTTCTCATTTGTAATTTCACTCTAACTTATCTATTTTATAATCCACAAATAACATTACTGGTTCTATTATTTCTGAATCAGATTTAACATCTTTTGGACATAAGTCTAGCCACAGAAACAGACATTGCTGACATTTCTGGTAACTAGCTACTAACGTCTGTCCCAATTTTTCAAAAGTGAATTATTTCTAATGTTATAGCATTTGTGTCATTTTGTAAATTCCCACATTACTGCCCGGAATCTTTAGTCCCTTCTAGTGTCTCATTTTTTTAATTCATAAAGTTCAAGTTCTTATTTTGACTTAAGAAAGGCAAAAAACATTCTGGTTCCAATGAGATGCTGTTTATTTAATTATTCAAAATCTTATAGTAAAAGCTGTCTGGACCTTAATTTGTGTATACCTTTCTTAGATCAAACTCTTATTTAATAGTTTGCTCTTTATTTCCAATTTTTAACACATTAAAAAAATTGTTCAAGGGGAAAAGTAAACTCACCAGATGGTTTCCCAAACATTTCACTTTGAACATATCTACTAGCCTTAAAATAGCAAGTATGCAATCATTGAAAATGATTAGAAAGTAAGGGTAATGAACTCAGTGTCCTTTAAAATAGGGGTCGCCAACTTTTTGGACCTCAGGGACCACCAAACTCATAATTTTAAATCCCGTGGACCAGAGACCCTGGGAAAATCCCAAAAAAAGTCTGCAGGAAAATTCTCCACCCCAATTCTCCTACCAACTGATCATTCTTTATTTGGGATCGCAGGATACCATCTCCAGCTCCGTTCTTGGGGGGGGGGGGGAGAGAGACTTTTGGCTTCATGCAAGGAAAGCAGCAGAAGTCTTTCTTTCTCTCCCACAAAATCCACCAGAAATGAGTCTTTGTGAGACTTGTTGTGCCGGCGCAACCTCTCGAGCAGGATGCCTTGCAGGGTCTCAAAGACTCATTTCTGGCAGATTTTGGGGAAGAAAGACTTTCCTTGCGTGCAGCCAAAAGCAGAAGTGAAAAGAAGCAGCCCAGTGGCCAGGCCAGGCGCATAGGGTGAGTGGGACGAGTTCCCCCACTCCGCCATTTCCCCCCTCCCCACGTTGTTTGCAATGGAAGTGACGCAAGCCTTGTGTTCCCATGGGCCATGTGGGCGGCGTAGCATTGTGTTCCTGCGCAGCCTGGATTAATTGCTTTGGGGGGGGGTGTGCTTTGGAGGTGGCATTTCTCTGCGGACCCCCAAAATTTTCTCATGGACCATCAGTGGTCCCCGGCCTGCTGGTTGGTGACCACTGCTTTAAAAGCTCTACCACAATTGTGAGCTAGATGGCTGGTTCCTTCATTTGGCTTTCAGTCCCATGGGAAACTGCTGTCCTGCGGTCTCCTCACAAGGAGCAACCACCCAAAGCATAGGTAGGTGATCTATCCTTATCCAGAGAAGTTCCAAAAAAACCTTATTTGTCGGTTCTTCAGTCTTCATCTCCATTCTGTCATGCCTCCACCTGAAGTCCCAGATTATCAACTTTTAAATTGCCTAGGAAATGAATGATTTAGCCAGATGCTGGAAATGCAATATAGATACAATATACATCTTCCCAGGGAGACATTCTACACTTATAGAGTCCCCTCTAATGCACTACTTTTCTCTGTATACGTATTTGCTGCTATATAATGTACAGGATGAGAAATGAGATAAAGTTGTGTCATCTCTTATCTTGATGATAACTCAGTTCAAATTTATTACCTCATAGCAGTTTCATTAAATGTTAAATGGAATACAACTGAGTCATGAATACTGCCAAAGAGCAAAAATCTTCATCTGTTTATACTACTAAAACTCTCCTATCTGTTTATAACCTTCAATTGGGCAAAACCATGCATTATAGGACATTTTTGAACTAAGATATCTCAATAGGTTATCTTAAAAATGCATCCAAAATCCAGGACCGTTATTCCAGTGGAACTGAAATTTCAAGGATCTTCACATCATTTGTATTAGCAAAGTTGTGGCTACTGCAGCATCACTGTGCTGCCAGAGTCAGCCACAGTCACATAACTGCAATTTCTGACGCTCCTGCCAACATCCTACAAGCAAAGTCAATGGGGAAGCTGGCCGGAAGTTGGAATTCATTCTACTTTCATTACTTTTTGGCCTGCCCGTGGTTATTCTATATTGGTTTAGATAAGGAAGTCTCACTGAAATGACCCAATGGGCCACGGTTTGTCTAGTCTTTATTTCTAGAAACAACCAGCCAAATCACTGGATACAATATATGCAATGCAACAGCTGGTTCAGAAAGATACCATCCAATGCCCCCAAAGTCAAAGAGAACAGAATTATATTCCTGATTCTCCCTCAGTAAGATCATCACATACAGTAGAAACCAAAGCAGATTCTCTCCCGTATTAGGCCTAAAGCCAGACTTTAAACTGACATTGCTCTCTCTGAGGAGTACAGGAACCAGCCAGCCCTCTTTCCTATTTAAATGCAACAAGCTATTGGTGAGCAGCTGGCCTACTTTTTACAACATCACAATTTCAGCACCAATTCCCCCTGCCAGCTGTCAGAATTCAGACTTCCCCAAAATATATCTACACAAGAGATAGTTGTATAGCCTGGAACCAATAGCAAAGAAAGACTCACTGCAACCCCCCCCCCCCCACTTTTTCCATATTAAAGAGTCTTTGTTCTTTTGAAAACCAGCAGAAATCTAGGAAAATAACCCCAAAAATGGGAATGGAAACTGAGGGTACCCTCCACCTCCACAACAGCCACAGAATTAACTGGTTGAATCTTCAAAAACTTGGAAGGAGTAAAGAAAGAGGAGACTGAAGGGATTATCAGAAAAAAATGGCTATTTTTAAAAGGATAACCAACATTTAGCATTGGTTTTTAGTTTCTTCTCGTTAACATTTCTGGCATTTATAATCACTGCACACAGTAAATTGTGTAGTTTATTCAGCTTAATGTCTATAGCAGAACTCCTCTAAATTAGGGGCAGACCAACATGTCTTTTCTGCCTAAACGTTTATGTTCAGCTTTCAGCTGTGATATTAGAATTTTATAATTCTTCCAGTGCTGTTTTTGCTGTAATTACCCAAAGATAAAAAGACATGTTAAGACTTGAGACTGGTTTTAATTCTCTTGTGAAATTCACCTAACTTCCAGAGAAGGGGGAAACCTTTTTTTTTTTAGCCACAGGCTTAACCCTTGAGCCAGGAAATCATGTTACAAAATTGATTTCATTTTTTAATCAGCCTTCTTTTGCTTGGCGCTTACATAGGTTATTTGATCTGTCCTAAATCATGGTTAGCTGATCTGAAGGATTGAATTACCTGGAAGACAGATTGCATCGTCAACAACAACTACTGTATATGTTTATTAAATTTGTCCAAGAATTCTGCATCCTTGGATGATAATTGAATGAACAATACTCAGTAACATAATGACACTAAATATGGAGGTCATGTTGAATTCAAATGATGGTAATTTGGGGCAATTTTTTTTCAAGATTAGCTGTCAGCTATGTGAAACTGTATGGGGGGGACAGACCTTTCTTGCTTATCTCCTGAGAGCTGTATTTTTAAAGTCACATTCACTAACACCATGGTTAATATTTTTTAAGAAAGACAGAGCACATATGTCAATCACATTTATTCAATACAAATACTTAAAACAAGGTTTGAATATGGGTTTCCTGATTTATTGCCATCAAGGAGAAAATATTCCTGACTTAATGTCAAGCCACAAAGTAACCCATCTATAGATTGAGAAATTCAGAACAAGGAAACAGAGCAAAGATACTACTTGTCATGACCAAAACACTACTGATAATATAGCTCCAGATTCATGCCATCGTGGATTTCATCTGAAAGTAAGGAGTTAAGGTTAATTTTTACAAGAAAATATTAACAAGTATTAATTATAAATAGGCTTAGCTTTTGAAAATAACATCATTTGAAAGTGACCATTCTTTGGAAATATTGTCAATATGGTTCAGATATATGCAAACGTATATATTTATAATATGATTATTTGTATAATGTCCCAAGTATCTTTTCTCCCCAGTTATTCAGAGATTTAAAGCCCAATTCTATTTTCTTGAGACAAAGAATGGTAGTGCACTTATCAATTTAGTATCAAGATCTACCATTTCCATTTCTTTCAAAGTTCAAGAGAAACAGAATAGTGTGGGGATCAAGCAACAAGGTACACAATTTTCATAGAATAACAGAGTTGGAAGGGACCTTGGAGGTCATCTAGTCCAACCCCCTGCTCGAGCAGGAGAGTCTATTCCAAATATTAGCCTCTACTTAGGATCGACCTCACAGACTCCTGATTGTGAGGCGAGAGCTCCACCTCTAGACCAACGGAACTGCCTATTCCTAAAAATGACCCAAAAAATGGCATATGGAATCCTTCAAACAATTTATGTCTTAAAGGCTTGATAAAAACTGGAACGATTTATATTGCTGAGGATTCTGGGCTCATAAAAGAAACATACTGAATGGAAAAGGTGTGGGAAATGGGAAAGACAGAAGTCTAGAAAGCCTTAATTTTCAAATTGAACTGTTGAGTACAAAGTTTCATGCCATGTCTCATTTTGAACATTTCAGAAGTTCTTTATGTTCGGAAGAAAGCTGTTTCATATATGGTTTTTTTTAAAAGCCTTATTTGCAAAATTTAGTCCTCAAAACAGTTCAGCGTATCTTTAATTTTGAGACTGAAATATTCTGATCTTAAAATAGGCTGCTCTGTAGGCTGCCCAAAAGTGGTTCAACCTCAGAAGCTGATAAAGATAAAACAGTCAATTTGCAGAACACTTTCAATGTACTTGAAATGGATGTTTTGATGGCGTAAATGTTTTGACCATTGAACATTCTGAGGATGGAATATTTCAACATCAAAACATTATGTGGAAAACGTAAATACTATATACAGTATATGCATGTTAAAATGTCTGAAATATCTAAAAGTGGATACAATCAATTAAGATGATGTTTTTAAATATGCACAGAATAATGATTTGGTATTTGACACTTAAATGCCTCCCCCCAAAATAACAAACCATGCAAGAGAGAGATAATTTTAAAGAAAATTTAAAATGTCACATTTCTTTCCTCTAGTCATCTGACCATTTTCTTCATTACTGTCAGTTTTTTAAAGGATACAGTCTGCCAGCATCACATGGTCCTTGAAAATTGTATACCTATAATATATATAAAAATATAAGTATAAAAATAATACCTGTAGCTGTTACACAGTTCAATAAAAAATAACTCAGTAAATATCACAATCAATACAATCAGGCCTTGACTTATGACCATAATGGAGCTTGTCTATCACAACCATAAGTTGTGATCATCATAAAACAGACCTGATTTTATGACTGTTTTCATAGTGGCCATTCATTCATATGATCGTGGGGGAGGAAGAACCACCATAACTTCAAATCTTGCTCATATGTAAATAAAGTAAGTTCATCATAACTTTGAACAGCCGGTAAGGGACTGGTCATAAGTTGAAGATTGCCCATATAAATAATCACAACAATAAAATGAAGGCGAATCAGCATTAAAGAGCTGGCACTCTTGAGGGCCATCACAAATTTGTTCTGTTCCAAAGTAAAAGAACTCATTCATCAAATTGTATCAACTTAAATACTTATACAGATTATCAATCTGCTGCTAGTCACAATTCAAGGTTTCTCTTTCAAGCATGAATCTGTTTGTTACAATTTTTTACAATATTGTTTACAATCAATTACAGACTGCAGTGGCTTCTTCCTAAACTATGAGATAAAAATAGTCCTTGACCTATTATTGTAATGGAATCATTAAGCCAGGCACATCCATGCTTTCCCTGATGTGGCCAGTAAATGGAACAGGATCATGGAAGCCCTGAGAGAACTAGAACGGGCTCAGCTCACAAGTGGCCTGCCCTGGACCTTCTCTACTCCAACTCATCCCATGCTCAGTTTCCTGCCTCTCTGGGTCCCTGCAAACCTTTGGCCTGCTTTCTTGCTCTATCAGTCTCTGCAGGGCTTGGGCTTGCTTCCCACCCTGCCGGGTCCCACATCCTCTTTCCCATGCCCCGTCACTGATCAGTCACTTGCCTTTTACTGTAGATCTTCTAGAAACCGTTGCTTCAGTGTGTGGCTTTCCTACACAACGGAAGCCGCATGGCTCCATTTCAGAAGCAGACACTATTTCGGAACAGCCCCAATTAAGTGCAGCTGTTCCCAAATTGGTGGCCATTTCCAGGACGCAGCCATGTGGCCTCCACTGGGTAAAAACAGCCACACAGTACAATAGCTATTTCGAGAAGATCTACAGCAGTGAGGGCTAACCTTTTCGGCACCAAGTGCTCAAAGCGTGAACATGCATCCCCCAAATGCAATACACGCACATCCCTCTGCATGCTCCTCGCCCCCCCCCGCATGCCCCCCCCCCCCCCCCCCCCTCCCCCCCCCCCGCATGCCCAGTAGAGACCTGAAGACCAGTTGGCCGGCATGCATGCGCAGCAGAGCTGTGATGGGGCGATGGCTCGTGTGCCCACAAAGAGGGCTCTGCATGCCACCTCTGGCACACGCCATCATGGATCTACAGCAGAAGAGATGTCACTAATCAGTGACAGGAGTATACAGGAAGGTCTCAGCAGGCTGAGAAGCAGGCCCAAGGCTTGAAGGGACCCTGTGCGGCAGAAGGGAGGTAAGATGACTGAGCATTGCAGCATCCCTGTGATCAGTTGTAATGGCAAGCAGATGGCCAAGTGCCAGAATTTTATTCATGTGACTGTGGGAGGGGAGATGCAGCAGCCATAACTTCAAAACCAGGTTGTAAGTAGTCTTGGGGAGGTCAATCAGAACTTTGAAAGGTTGCTAAGCAACCAGTTGTAACTAAATTTCTACAAAATGAATTTCAGATATTCTTTCTCTTCCTTTTAAGTAGAGAAACTTCTCTTTGTTATGACTAAATTGTGAAATGAATTATCAGCAGAGGATATCATTGTAAATCTTAGTGTGGTTTTTTTTCTTTTGCCGTTGCTGGTTGATTGCTACCCAGTCTTTAAGCTATACATACAGAACCAGTGGGGAGTACAGCTTAACATACTGGCCTAGAAAACAGGTTTAAAAATAACAAATTAAATGACGTTGGGACAGTAACTCTTTTTCAACCCAACTAACCACACAAAGTTGTTGTTGTGGGGAAAATAAAAGGCAGAAGACTTATATATGTTTGCTGTCTTAAATTATGTATTAAAATGGTATAATAATAGTATGTCAAAATCATCAATTGCAAAAAAGAACTTTACCTGGAACATCTTACATTCTGCAATAATAATTTTAACATCATGGGACAACAATATCTGCCTATCAGGTCTTTGGAAAGGATTTGATGGGTGAATAAATATGCCAAATCCAATCTAACCATCCGACTGACTAATCATCTGAGGAGTTATATTCAAAGCATGTTATAAGTAAGTTGGAAAGTCTACTTACCACTTCTTCAGAACTATCTTGTCCCAGCGAGTACCAGTCTGGGCAGCAATAAGCTTCTTAAGATCCCTGATGCAATCATCAGTGCTGAGCAGTAATATTGGTTAAAGAAATGAATGAGAAAATAGGGCCTAGTATATAGTAAGCACTAAATAAGCTATTTGTTATGCACAACTGCTTATCAAAAACAACTGAACCTCTTGTACAGTGTGAAATGGGAGACGGATGCAGATATACTGTACATTGCTCACATAAAAACATGATCAAAGGACTTTTATTTGTACTTTCAAAACTATGCACAAATATATCTGCATGTAGTGTCTATAGACAATCCCTGGATTAAGAACATCCAACTTGAGGACCCCTATATAAGAAACTATTGTTAAAAATGGTGGATAACTGTCTCCTTCCTTGAGCTGACAAAGCACTGAAGCTACGCTGCTTTCAATGCTTTCAGGAACTGCTTAAGCCAAATATATTTAATACAGGTAGTTCTCAACTTATGACTATAACAAAGCCTGTAATTCTGGTCATAAGTTGTGACAGTTGTTAAATGGGTCATCACATGACACCTGATTTTACTTTTTGCAGAGGTCATTAAGCAAACCCATTGGGGTATTTTTTGCTTGGAACTGAAAGTTAATGCCGGTTTCCACCAAAAACTTTATACATTGTGGTGCTGTGACCACAGGATGCCACAAACAGCCATAAATGTGGGCCAGATGCCAAGCATCCAAACTGCTGTCATGTGACTGTATGGGTGTGTGTGTGTGTGTGTGTGTGTGTAAATGGCTGTTGGAACCTTGAATGCAGGTCATAATTGTAATTTTGAATGGTTGCTAAGCAATTGATCAGTCACCCAAAGAAAGCAGTCATAAAGAATTCATCACTCTCCATCAATTTCCCATGCTACTAGCACAACACATTTTTCACCTCCAAATTGGAGATTCCTGTAGATTCCTAAGATTCCCATCTCATAATGTGGTTATGCAGTGAAAAAGATTTCAAAGCAACAGATCCCCGTTATCTGGGTTTGTCTGGGGAAATACAGTGGATATAAAAAGTTTACACACCTGTTCAAATGCCAGGTTTTTGAGATATAAAAAAAATCAAACCAAGATGAATTTTTATGGGGAAATAAAAAAAATGACAATAATCTGGTTGCATTTTTTTACATCCACTGTATATACAACATCAGACAGAAGCAAAAAAAATCTAAGCCACATTCGCACTCAAGTTAATGGCACCCATAATACATAGTTTTTAATCTAGAATCCGTTTCTTGCCATTCCACAGCCCAAAAGATCAGCTAAAAGGGAAACAATTGCCATCCCAAAGCGGTTTCTTTGGTCTCGGATACTTGCACTTCACTCTAACTTTCTTGCCCAGCCGATCGTTGCAAACTACTTCAATCATCTTGATCACGGCTTCACGTTCGGCTCTGCTAGAAAGCTAAACAAAATAATCAGCGTCAACAAAAAAAAAAAGTAATCGGCAGCCTGATGTAAACCCCGAATAAAGTTAAAACCTATTTTAAGTGGAAGAACGGGAGTTCTCCAGCTTAATGGCCACTGTCTCTCAGCGTTTCTCAGCCTCTGGCTGCTTGGGATGTGTGAACTTCAACTCCCAGAATCCCCCAGCATCCTCAAGCAGTCAAGGCTGATGAATTCTGCTAAATACAGTATACTGCACACACCTCGAAACTCCCCCTCTGCAACTGCTTTAGAAGCCACCGTGTACCAGACGCAGAAGCCTAACAAAGCCCCAGTCCCTGAAGCGTGGACAGGTGGGAAGGAAAGCATAATTCCCCGATTCCCTCAACGACCAGGCCCAACCACCAACGTGTCCCCGCTCCCCGCGCAAGAGCCCGTCTCACCGCGGAGGAGGCTTCCTTGACACCGAGGAATCTGAGCCACCACAACCCCCTCAGCGGAATATGGAGAATTCTCGTCGCATAAAAACAATCCAGGCTCCCCAACCCGGAAGTGCGGGGGTCACTCTGAAAACCGGAAGTTGTACGAACCCCTTCCGCCAACAGTTTTGCCGCTCTTCTATACCTCGGGAAGATACGCTTGTAATAAATGATGGCCGCGATAAATGATCCTCCGACTCTTTCTTCTCTCCCGGACTCGCTTCTGCTCCAGATTGTGGTCTGGCTGCCGCCGCGTGACCGAGTGGGCGTGGCCAGGTAGTAGTCGGCTCCGCCTCGCGTTCTCCGTTTCCATGGGAACCCTCCTCATCTGAACGTCAACTACGCTCTCCGACAGTCCTGTTTTCGGGATAGGGTCGGTCGCATACGTAGCGCTTGGTCAAACGCCGATTGATAGCTTCGTCCGGGCGCTGTGCCTGTGGCGCGGGGGCTAAACTTGTCACAATGCGAAACAACGCGTCAATGGGAAACGCTTTGCGCAAGGGGCAGATAGCTCCCGTGACATCCATGTAGGAATGCCTGGCGGGGCGAGGGGAGGAAACCAACCGTCCGGGTCGTCTTGATCAATTCCTTTAGGGGAACGTGCCTGCTCTAACAAACTTTTTCTTTCTGCAGAGTTTGCAAAAAGTGGCGTCGCTTGGTGCGGGACCACTTCTTGTGGCGACACGTGGATCTCTCTTCTTGCAGGGTCAGAAATGCCTAACTACCTTTGGTCGCATATGTGGGAAGGGCGGCTATATAAATTTACCAAACAAGTAGTTCTGAAAATAGGAGGTAGATGTTTTGGGGAAGGCATGGGAGGGAACAAGGAAAGTGACCCAGGTCAGACGCAATACAACAAATATACTTACAATTTAAAAGAGAGAAAGACATTTTCACAGTGATGTAATCAGTAGAATTTCTGGCAAAATGAATATTAATTTGTGTAACGTAGCATGCTTTATTATAAGCAATGTTCTATCTATAATTTGATATAATTTTATTCTAGTTGTGATAAATAAGAGGTACATTCACAAATGGCAAGGTTTTATCAGACCAAAATCTAACCTGATCAGGTTTAAACTATAGAATGCGGTCATTTCTGCACAAGATATTGAAATTGGCACCATTGCCAGGGAAACATTGCAACCCATCCTTTTAGTACATGCATGCATCAATTTCATATGAATGTTTAAAAGGGGCAAAGTTTGCAAAAAAAAATGCATTGTCTGCCATTTTGACATGTCACACATTACATAGATGCCACTGATACAAAGTTTAAAACATTGGAATACCTCCCTCTGAAAATCAGGTTGAATTATGGACCTCCTGGATACTTGAAAACTGAAATATTCCAGAGGACCAATGGTGAATGATAGAATATCTCGTGTTTTTGTTTGATTTTATTAAATTCTGATTTACTGATGTTATTTTATATTTGCTGTTTTAGTTCCTGCTGGGGATGTTTAAGTTCAGCTGTTGCTTAGTCTCAACTATTGGTAATCTAGTGAGTCTTTTAATTGTGCCTTACATAAGTTCAATAAATAGTAATAAGTTTAACATTTATTTTAATTCATTTAAAGTTTAAAGCCTTTATTGTCATTGTACATCAGGTATACAACAAAATTGGTTAATTTACTTAATACATTTACTTAATAAATAGTAAATAAAAACTCTCTTATATGGTTGATCAACTGTCCTTTAGGTTTCCAAAGATGTTATTAACATAATTTTATATATCATAAGAAGTAGGACCATGATGGTGCATTTTTTTCGTACATGTGAAAGAATGTAAAGCTAATATTATTGTTGAAGCAGCTCATTTTGTGGCCATACTACTTTTCAGCTATATATCCAAAACTGGAAGGGGGAATTAAATAAATGTTTGCTTCTCCATATGGCTTTGAATATCATGCAATACCACTATCAACAAAAGAAAAATCAATGTGATGCTGTAGTGCAGTGGCCCCCAACCTAGTGACCAATTCCATGGAGGGTGGCTTTTCCTTAGAATAGGAGGCTACAGACTGGTGCCAGGCCATAGACCGTGGTTTCTGCCTCACTATTTGAGTCTGTAGGAATCTAATTGGGGGGAAAAACAGGCTTCAATTCAAACTTATTAAATCTGAGTTGCTTAGGGTTTTAAGGGCTCTTGGATTCTGTTATTTCCCTTCTTTAGTTCTGGATGGGTGTGGCAAAACCCTAAACAAAATTGAAAATTTGGAGATCCTCCTGGATTATGGTTCTTGTCTGAGGAACAGGTGGCAGCTGTGGCCTAGAGGGCTCTCACACAATTTGTGCACTTTCCTGGATTAGGAGATAACTGATCATGGCCACCCAAGAGTTTGGTCACCACCCAAATAGACTATTCATATGTGCTACCTTAGAACATCCAGAAGCTGCAACTTGTCCAGAATTGCAGTACAGACAGTCATGGGCATACTTCAATACATCCATGTTGCACCTTTGCTCTGTGAGCTGCATTGGCTCCCAATATATTGTTGGGTGCAATTCAGAGTGCTGGTTGTTACCTATAAAGCCCTTCATGGCATGGGGTCAGTTATTCATGGAACCAGCTTTGTCTGATTGTTTCTACCTGCCTCATCAGGTCCAATAGGAGGGGCATGTTCCAGGTCATGTTGAGTGAGGAATATATCAGACAGGACTGAGGAAAGAGGTCTTTTCTTTCAGAGTGTATTTGATCCCTTTGGAACATCATACATGTCACGACTAGGTTAGCCCTGACTTTGCTGGCTTTTTAGAAAGCTTTAAAGACCTGGATGTTTTTCTGGCCATGGAGATCAGAAAATTACAGTAACCCTCATGATGTCTGTTCTATAATCTGTGTCAGCTTAACCATAAACTTATTCTGGTGATAACACGCGCTTATCCAATTAAGATTTTTCCCATACATTAAATAATCTACAAATAAAGGTGAGTATTTGTAGCTCAGGGTTGATATGAGGTGTCCTTGGTGCTCTCTGAGCTTGCTTGTTTTGCAGATGTTTCATTACCCAAACTTGGTAACATTAGGAGGACCCAAATTGTTGGGGGCAATATGCTGACTCTGTAAACTGTTTAGAGGGCTGTCAAGCACTATAAAGCAGTATATAAGTCTTAAGTACTATTGCTATCATCAATGCTAGTAAGGAGTGCAGTTTGCTGTCAGATTATATTCTGGTGGCAACACTGACAAGGGCAAGCCACCAGAATATAAACTGACAGCAAACTGAACTCCTTACTAGCACTGCTGATGTTACTAGCAGACATGATATTATTCCGATTAAAATCGGAATTCTGATTTTTTTGGGTGGGCGGGCGGGCGGGCGGCGCGAGCGGCGGGGGGGTCTCTTTTGGCCGGCCCCGATTTTTTTTTCAGAGGGGAATATCATGCCTGTACTAGTTTGGGTAATGAAACATCTGCAAGAAAACAAGCAAGCTCAGAAAACACCAAAGACCCCTCAGATAAACTACAATTCCCAACATTCTCAAAACCCATATTTATTTAAAAAGTTATACAACTTTTTAAGGTTTAGGCTAAACATTTGGGTGCTGCCTAGCCTAATCCTATTTATTCATCCACTTATTGATGCACTGAGCTATTTCATACCTAGTTTGTGGTCATAGGCTTAGAAATTAAGTTTGTTTCTATGCCAGTTATAATTTTCAGTAATTATATGCATTCCAATATTTTTTTCCAGTTGCCAATTCTATTGTTTTTCCTTTCCCTTTAGATATCCTCCAAGATCTTATGGCATCTTCTACGGAACTATTTCCAAGGCAGCTTGCAGACTCTGAAGCTACGAGGCTCCCTCTTCTCCTTTCAAAAACAAGAAGTACTTACCTCAGCACTGCTGCAGGCTTTGGGCAAACAATGTCCCAAACTCCACCAATTGAGCTTGATGGAACTAGACCTCCGTTCATTCCAATACGGCTGTATGCCTTCCTCTCTTACCACCCTGGAGCTGAGATGTTGTGAGATCCCTTTTGTTTGGTTCCAAGTGCCAGAGACCCCCTGCACTTCCCCAAGAATCCAACAACTTTCAATCTGGAATGTCCCTGCTTTTTCCAACCAGCACCTATTGAATATTGCTACCCAGGGCACTCTCAAGACTCTTATCCTTTCAAAAGTGTACCGTATAACAGACGTGGGGATCCAGGCAGTAGGACCACATCTGAAAGACCTTCAGCACCTTGCCTTGTGCCATTGTAGCATTGGTGATTCAGCCATGTACTTCATTGGGCGCCACATGAAGCAACTGCATCATTTAGATCTCAGGAGCAATTCTTTGACAGATGCAGGTCTTCTTTGCTTAAGTGGTTTACCAAACTTAGGGACCCTTTGTTTGAGAGACTGCAGTCAGCTTTCTCCTGAAACCATTTTAATTGTTTGCCAGTCACTCCCCAGTCTGAAGCATCTCGATTTAAGCAGGATAGACTTTGAAGACAAAATATTCCAAAAGATCCGGTTGAGTTTACCAAACTGTACAGTGGCAAACACCATCCTTTGCACAGATTCCAGTGCAGTATCTTAGAAGATAGCAAATTTTCCCTGTGCTTGTTATTCACAGGTCAAAAGATGGCAGCACTCAGATACATCTTCTCAGCAGCTTTTTGTCTTTATAGCCCAAATGTTTGTAGCAGGCTAAAAATGGAATAGATCAGACCAAACAAGTAATATATCTCAAGGGCCACTAGTTTAACTGTTGTGCAAATTGTATGGCCAGTATTTGTACTGTAGATGTCTGCCGATGTTGACATATAATTCAAGCTTAAAGAATCCACTCTCTTCCAGTTTTTTTAATATACCTCTGAACTCTCACTAGTTCCAGCAAATATAGTCAGCTGTGCACGCTGATGGGAAAAGTAGCCAAGAATACCAGGAAACTGCCAGGTTCTAAAGTAGGACATAAGTGACTGGAGAGATTAAAAATTAAAATAATTTATGCACTGTGGGCAGAAGATGTTATTAGAAACACTATGCCATTTTAAAAACACTGCACAAATTTCTGGACATCTAGGACAAATTCCTCTTCCTGAAGAACTCATAGTTGATATATTTTAAAAAGCACAAAGGTTACATTTACAAAAGTGCATAATTTTCAAGGCTGACCACATTTTATTGTTTTTAAGCACCATCCTATTTACTTGAAATCTGGTACAAGAAGT